CTTTTTACCCGTGTTTATGCAGCTTATATTCTAGTGATGATCAATTAATGAAGCTCAAAAAAGAACTTTAATTGAACATGGCATATGTAATTAACTGCATATAAATTAAAATTGCCTAGGGAAATTGATCTTTTCATGCACTACTATACTGTATATTGGGAGAATCTGTCTCAAGAACAAGTTGGAAGCCTCAGCAAAGGTGAGGTGCTTAGCAACTCAGTGAGACCCTGTCTCTAAATAAAATACAAAATGGGGCTAGGTATGTGGCTCAGTGGTTGTGTTCCCCTGAGTTCAATCCCAAGTAACCCCCTTCAAAAAAGAACAAGCTAGCAATAACCACCAAAATTTTTAAATGTGAAAATATGAATGTACAACAATTTACTGACATAATAAAAATATATTTTTATCCAACATTCCATAAAATTCTGTAATACAGCCAGGTGCAGTGGCACACACCTATAATCCTAGCAGCTTGGGAGGGTGAGGCAGGAGGATCAATAGTTCAAAGCCAGCCTCAGAAATAGCAAGACACTAAACAACTCATCAAGACCCTGACTCTAAATAAAATACAAAATAGGGCTGGGGATGTGGCTCAATGTTGAATGTCCCTGAATTCAGTCCCTGGTACCAAAATAAAAAAATTCTATAATATACAAATAATGTATATCATAGTGTTTTTTAAGTAACAGAAATACAGAAATGACAGAAAGACCCACTTATAAGTTATGAATTAAGGAGATAATTATATTAATCCCAAGAGAAGTTCACAAAATACCCAACTGTTAAAACCAAACAAACCCACAGTTAAGTAGTATATTCTATGATCACATTTATGTGGAAAAATGTACATTTAATATTGATATTTAGAAAAAATGGAAAAGTAATACAGCCAGCTAAGGACAGTTATTCCCCAAAGGTATATGAACATCTAATTCACAGAAGAAAAAGTGATTATGCATATCAAGAGATATTAATCTTCACTAAAAGCAATGAGAAGAGTGGCTTCTGAACTTTGTCCAGTTTGAATTAAAAACATAATTATGTATCATCAAAAAAGAATTTGTTTTTTTTGTCTTTATCAAGTAAATTTTTAAAAGGTAAATTAAAGTTTCACATTTTACTAATGACAAACATCATAAATCATTTGTATAAAGCACTCCTTCTAAACTCATTCAGGGATTTTTAAAAACTCCTATGGGTATGAGCATGTGTATATGTTTCTGTCTGTGTCTGTCAGTCTCTATTCTTGTGAACACTTCTCTATCCCTTGATCAAATAATCTTTTTGTTGTTGATGTTGTTTTGTTGCAAATTTCTTCTTTTTGCAGTACTAGGGATCAAACCTAGGGTCTTACACATGCTGGGCAAGAGCTCTACCTCTGAGCTAATATCTCATGGTCCACTTTTTTAAATTTTTTTTTTGGCCGGGGATGGGAGGGGGTGCTGGGGATTGAACTCGGGGGCACTCAACTACTAAGCCACATCCCCAGCCCTGTTTTGTATTTTATTTAGAGACAAGGTCTCATTGAGTTGCTTAGTGCCTCGCCATTGCTGAGGCTGGTTTGAACCCTCGATCCTACTGTTTCAGCCTCCCAAGCCACTGGGATTACAGGCATGCGCCACCATGCCCAGCACATGGTTCAATTTCTTTTTATACTTCAGGCTTTATCCTATTTGGAATCCATTCTAGTGGGGATTTTTCTTTTCTATTTCCTCCCCCAAATATCACGTGTTAAAGTTATCCCTCAAAATGACCTGTCTCCCATTTCCTTCATCAGGGCCACAATCATATTCCTCTTCCATTATTTCCACAGACTCCCAACTGACCTTCCTTTGCAGTATTCCATTCTACCCACCCTTCATCCCTCAAAACTGCTCCATATTCTACGCATTGAGTGACTGTGTCACTGCCCTATTTAAGTCCTTTCAATGACTCTCCACTACACTTCGGATGAAATCCAAACTTATCATGTTCAAAATTAGGGTGGCCATAAAAAAACATATAAATAAGGAAGCAACTGAAAGTAAAAGAAGAGCTATTAATAATAATCCTTAACTACAGGCATAAGCCAGAGTCTGTGGGACAAGCCCAACTCAAAAGGCTTGACTTCCTGCTCCAAACTCTTGCCCTGTCCTCTTTCACAGGCTACTGTGCAGTCATGCTGAACTTTAAGAGACTTCACATACTATGCATTTGACCTAAAACCTTTATTCTTCACACTCTGCCAACGACCCATTCCACATGACCCGTTCTGTTCTGGTTACCCCGTATTGGACCTTCAGGCCTTCCTCTACAGTTTTCCTCAACCAAAGTTTGGATTTAGCACCAAACCTATATGTTTCATCATTTCCATTTGTCCTCCCTTTTTTAAAACCCAATATTTCTCCTATGCCTTCATTAATCTATTTACTACAAATCCTATCTCCAGAGGGCCTGGCACACAGTAGGCACTGAATAAATATCTGAAAAAAATATCTATTTCTAGCAACATTTATAAATCACCAAAGAAAAGTTCAAACGATTTTTAAAAAGAGTTATTAGCAAATCTGAGGAATACACATATTATTTTTCTGTAGTGGCTGCATATCTGGTTGTTTGTGCCTAAGTGTTTTTTTTAAAAAAAAAAGTCATATTAGGGCTGGGGCTAGGGGCTCGGTGGTGGAGTGCTTGCCTCGAACGTGTGAGGTACTGGGTTCGATCCTCAGTACCACATAAAAATAAATAAAATAAAAGTATTGTGTCCATCTACAAATAAGAATATTAAAAAAGGTCATATTGCTTGGTAAGCATATGTCAGGTTTTCTTTCAGTTACTATGAATAAAATATTTAAATAGAATAACCATCTAAACAGTAAATATTTTTTTATCTGCTAAAAATGACAGACAACACTCAAATTAACACACCAGAATTACATATTTCATATTTCAACTGTCAGTTCAACTAATAGCCCATGAATAGATAACATATTCTACTACACCTTGCTTTGTTTTAAAAGAGGCAAAATAAAGCAAATTTTTTAATTTAATTCCTAGAACCAAAAGAATTGACTGATTATATTCTGAAAAAGTCCGATATGTATTTTAGGGATGAGCTTTTTAAAGAATCACTTATAGGTGACATTCAAAATGATGGCAGTTAATACAAATGACTTCAAGGAAAGCTGTATTATATGTTAGGTGAAAAATGGAAGAAAGATATGTTCTTCCCAAGACTGGATAACCATGGATTGTCATTGCCAACTGAAACACCATGTGTCTGAAATATCATGTGCTTTCTACTCATATTTCTTTAATATACATCTTTTACGCTGACCTCTCATCCATTCTATAGTCACACTATAAAATATGAAAAAATAAACAACATAATGCATATAAAATACATTCCATACAATGAAATTTAACCAATTATTAAATTTTATCAAATGGATCTTCATAATACCATCTAAGTCATACCTCCATTTTAAACCAAATGCCAGCCTACCTCTTGTATAATCTATTTTTAGCCATTCCATTTCAAACACTGTTGAGTAGAATACCAAAGTCACTTTTTAAAAAATCTGAAACATTCCTCTTTAGTTTCTAATGTCGTTGAACCAAGTTAATAATCTCAGAAAGGGATTTGACAAGCTTCTCATGGATCACCTCACCCTGCTCTGGTTGATACTAACTTTTTACATACAGTTGATACTAAACACAGCTTTAAATCTCAAGATTTAAAGAAATCTTGACTCTACAAATCTCCTTCTTGGAGTACCTAACCATGTGGCACCCTTTCTTTTTAATATTAAGCAACTTTTCTGTTCTAATTTGGTCTTTGTTCTTTTAGAAATAAAATTTAATTAGACCCCTAAACCATTAGAAATCAATTACCCTCACGTTATTATTCATAGTCCATTTACTTCTAACTTCAATACATTCATGTACTTATAAGGGTTAGATACTATGGCCCATTTTATACTTCATTTCAATAACTATAAAAAAATTTTTTTAGTTGTTGATGGACCTTTACTTATTAATTTATATGTGGCGCTCAGAATACAACCCAGTGCCTCACACATGCTAGGCAAGCACTCTACCACTGAGCTACAACCTCAGCCCTAATTTCAAAAACTTTTTAAAAATATAAATTTTAAAACCAAATACAGCACAATTTCAAAGGATATTTCTTCAAGAAGGCAAAAAACAGTTTTGTACCTGAACATAAGTTTTCATTCAACACTCTATTCTTACCAGTATTCATCATAAGACAACTGATCTTATGATGATAAATTACATATAAAATTCATTTGTAATTGTGACTCATGGAAACCATTTTACACACAGTTTGCAGTGGTTTCAAATTCCCAATGTATACATTATAGGATTTTATGTATTGATAACCTTAGAATAAGAGCAAGACAATTGTGAAATGCCTTCTCAGAACTAATCACATTCAGAAAATAAATAAATAAGTGAATGAATAATAAACTCTGAGGAAGCAGGCAGGACAGAATTGAAGTCTATCAATATTTTAAGAGATATCTGACACTGGACAACTGCTCTATTCTATAAAATGGTATGATATTTTGAAACATGAATTAGTACAAGGATAGAAAATGAGGCAGTTGAAGGGGGAGAGAAGAGTACCAAAATAATACTACAGAAAAATAGAGATATTTGTCAAATATATTAAAATAATCATTAGCTGGCCAAGTTAAATACACATAAACAAAATCACTGTGGTTCTGTATTTTGTATTCTTAATTTCATTGTAAAGGAAACGACCTTGAAGCTGCACTATATTAACCCAACTTAAATTCTGAGTTTCCCAGTTAAAGTACTGGGTAGTACCTGTCACAACATTATAATTCTTTTACCTTACTAGGATTCGGGTTAATAAAATATGTGTACTACTTGAAAATACATTGAGTTGAAAATTGATGCCTGAAACACAATTCATCTGAAGACTTAGAAAGTGGCCCTTTCAGAAGGTATTTATTACAGGAGTAACATGTCCTCACCTTCACATTGGGTTTTGACAGTAGTTTCAACAGTTCTCTGATCTCACTGTTTAATGGCTTGTTCTGAAGCTCTTCAGCCAGCTGCAAGGAAGATTACATTGACGTTTAGCAAGAGCATTGTGAGGTTCTGTGCAGAACTGAGAATCTATTTTGCTCAAGGTTATTACTTTCCAGTGTTTAAGTCAGCATGAAAGAAATCAATCAGTGCTCTTCTTTTCTGGTCCTTAGAAGAGCAGATTCAAGCCCAGGTTCTGGGCTGAGTACAACCTGCGTGATCATATCAGCCACATCACTTCTGATTTATTGCAATGAGAGCAAATCCCAGCATTTCATCTGTGTGAATGGTCTTTTGCACGTAGACAAAGGACCATTTGTAAAAAGGACTGGATCAAGTTTTGACACTGTACAAAAAAAATAAAAATAAAAAAGATGGAGAGTTTTTGAATGAGGTGGTGAAATCCATAGGGTTTCCAAAAATCCACAGTAGCTGTGCTGTTTAGAACTGGGGTAAAATGAACTAGAATGATCCTAATAGAGTAAATGACCTGAAACTTTTATTATGTTTATCTACACAGACTAAGAAGTCTATTAAATAAAAACCAAGTTAATCATAAACCCATAATAGTTTGAGAACTACTCTGGCACCAAAAATGCTAACTGTACTTTATTGTAATGATCAAGAATTCCCATTTGTCAATTTGATATGAAGAACGAACTAGAACTTTGAATCTGCCACATGTTCTCCAATATGAATGTTTTGAATGTTCTTACCACAAAGTAATGGTATATGTTTGAGCAGTTGGGTAAGCTAATTAATCGTGTGTGTGTGTCTCAAAATATCACACTGTGTACCATAAATACATACAATTATCTTTTGCCAGTTACAAATAAAAACTTGAGACTTTCCTATCAAAATTTCTCAGTAAGGATCATATAATTTCTATAAGAAAAGCAAGACACAAATATAAAAAGATAAAGTTTATGCAACATATGGTTTATAATTCAAAGTATATAAAAGCATTTTATCTTAAAATACTGCATGAATTTTCCATTTGCCCCTACTGTTTCTTTTATGTTAAAAACAATAGTTCTTATCTTTGGAAATGGACTTTTTGTACAGAAAATAAAATCAGAGAAAGTTGACAAATAACATTACAAAAATTGCTTTTACTTTTTCAGGGTAACATTTTTATAGAATTTTTAACTTACAAAAAGATACAAAAGGCTCTTCATATTCTTTACTCATGTAATAGATAATAATATATGTTTAACATTTAAGTATAATGTTATAGTGAATTAAAAATACTGTGTTGATCATATTTAATAGTAAGGTCTACTATTTTATTTTATTTTACTTTTTCCTGCAGTGCTAGGAATCAACTCTAGGGCCTCCCATATGTTAAGCAAGTGCTCTACTCCTGAGTTCTATCTCAATCTCATATTCTAATTTTTTTGAAAAAAAATTACTATGTACTATGCTTGGGGCTCAATTACATAAATCTCTACACAATTTTTTCCTAAAACCCTCAGCAGTAGATGTTTGAAAACTGGTTTTGAAGCCTTTTTCAAATGTTAGCTGAAGCTTAATTATGTAACTATATACACACTTTTATTCACCTTTGTTTCAAAAGTTTTAGTTTTACAATGCAGAAGTAACTTCCTCATTAACATATGTATTGAAACATATGTCTGGAGATAAAAATAGAATGGAAAATATTTGAGGACTAAAACAATACATATAACTGGATTGTTATTACATATGTTTTAATTTCTAAATTAGGATACAAAACATCAAAGAAAATGAACTTCTGAAGACAGTCGATTCTTTTTTTCTTACCATATTATGGTCCTGGCATTTTACTAAACTGAATTACAGTTTGCCTTATGGTGATACAGGAAAAAATTTAAGAGCAACAAATAAGTTACAGGATATCACTACCACACACTAAACACATTTCTCGTCTAGCTGAGTGTCCTTTATAGTTTATCCAGGTGTGCTCTCAATTCATCCGAATCCGAAAGTTAACAGTAGGAATCAGCAAGTTAGGTTCCCCTCCCCCAGGCTTAAAATAAAATTATAGCTACAGGAAATTAACTACTCCATCAATGCCAACTGCTTCTAAAATTTATTTTTTGGTTATGAAGGTAATTTGGAAAGGTCTAATATCCATAAATCATCACTGTGCTTTATAATCCATTTTAAAAACAATTCTGTCTTTTTATGTATTTCATATGCCTCATTCCTATCCTAGCACCTGTCATTTTTTCAGTACTGTCAGCAATATAACTATCTCATTTGTCTTTATTTCTCCAAAGCTTTCCCCTTGTCTGTGACTTTCTCAGAACACCAATGTCTGACAGCTTCTTTCTCTCCATAGAGTTTGAAGCCTAAAATTTCTATTACGTCGTTACCAAGGCAGAACACAGGGGTAGGTGCATGCACAATTTTTAAAACAGGAAAGTGAATGAAAATCAACATAATATCAGCATAAGCTCAGTGATGACAGGGCTTTTGGAAACATTTGCAACTTCTTCTGGTTTTCACTCGTAGGATCACACACATCTGTCTGCACTAGGATGAGTTCCACCTCTGCCAGGCCTGAGGCAGACACGTCCTGTGAGCTCAGAAAGCCACACTTACGTCATTGGCCAAGGCTGCCGCAGAATATAGAATGGGCACCGGGCTCTGCTTCTCATAGTAGTGGAGTTTTTCATGAATCTGGAAGAAAATCAAACAAATGTGAGCTTACCTGCTAGCAAACAATCACAGATATTTTAATATTTTTATAACTGTAAATAGAATTGGATTCCTTGGACTTTTTCTACAGCCATGTGTTAAAATAAACCTATAGGTGGCACATATGTATATAAAATTCATCTATTACTGTGATCCAATATTTACTATTTGGAGTGAAACAGAAAAGCATTGTCATTAAATAGGACCGACCCACATAGAAACTAAACCTTAGCTTTTCCTCCTGAATAAACATGTCACGTTTCTAAAGCTCTACAATTTCTAAAATATATAGCTTGGATACCTCACATATTATTTGTAGTTTATTTTTCTTGAAACATAAGTAAAACAAAGCAATAAGTAGCAGCGACACTATGACAGGTTGGCACATAGGAGCCACCAAGAAGCAGCAATTGGTGTGGTGCATACGTGGATATCAAGTCCAGAAACACCTTACCAAGCACTCTGTTCCTGTTACCTATTGCTCATTTATTTTTGAAACTCCCTAACATTTACCCCAAATTCAGATTTCAATGAAACAAAGAGATTCCTCATAACTAGAGACATTTCTCACAACTAGTTAGTTTAAATAACCTTCTCCATATTACAAAATATGTAACTTATGTTAATTAAAAGGAATTTAGCCCTTCATTTCCTATCATTGTGACCCAAGAAACACAAAAGCAAGAATCGATTTTAATGCTACATGAGGCAAACTGAGTTCCTTAAGAAAATCTCATACTAGAAAGTGAGAAGTAAATGATGCTTCGATAAAGGTGTCCTGTTGGTACTTAAGTTTAATCTATTTCAGCTCTTACATAGGTGTACTTCATATTTTTTACTTGAAAACTCACTTTAGAAGCTTCTATATGTAGTTAAAGAAAACTGTCCCACAATATATGAAAACCAGTTGCACCTCACAATTTCCTGTCTTTAATAGGTATCAAATAATATACTCTTTAATTATACTCGAAGCTAACCAAACTCCCCTGTAAAAGTCTGGAAGATAGATTTTATTTTGATTAGCCAGAGGCTATTGCTAAGAGAGGATTCTATTACGTTTTTGGCAACCTGGTATATAATGTAAAGCATCCAGGAAAGAACTGTGACAGTTATGATATTACCAGAATGATCAGGACAACATTTTTACTTAATATCTTGGAGCCTTCAAACATTTATCACATTGGGATAATAAACAAATTTTAAAGAACGCAAACCATAAAAAGAATAAAATCTGATTTAAGAAACTATGAAAGTATAGTTTGAAACAAAAAACAGACAAACTAAAAGCTAAGCTAAATTTGGTTAAATAATTGTCAAGAATTAGGTCACCTCGACATATATGATCATGGAACACTGAACTTAGCCTACTATAAAACTCATCCAGCTTTACTGCAATTACTTGTTTAAATATCTTCTTCCCTGATATAATAAATATAGAAGCGTATACTTATTGGTCACTTACCATGTGCCATATTACCTATGTAACAGTTGTTAGCAATACTAACAATATAGTCTTTAATGAGTTTATATCTTCATTCCTTAACCATCATGGGAACATGAAGAGGAAGATAGTAAGATTGTCTCACTTTACAGATAAACAGAGTTAAATAACTTGCTACACTCTCACAGACAGTAAAAGCCAGAACTGGACTCCCAAGATCCAGCCATCTGGCTCCCTGTCAGAGTTCTTAATCACCCACTTTCCTGCCTCTCAGACTAACATGTCGAAAGCCTGTGTTCCTCACTGGCTGCTTTCAGTGCTGAGTGAACGTGACCTGTACACAGGGCACGGAAAGGACTCAGGAGAGAGATGGCAAGGAATAGTGAAGGTCCCCAACAACTAAAAGGATCATGCTGGCTCCTCTCCATCCTTCTCCCTTATCTATCTTCTTTCTGATGGTTCCCACTTTTCCTGGATTAATATTGTAATTATACCTTAAAATTATATTCCCAAAAGAAACTAACTCTGTTTCTTTTGAGTGTCTTATAAAAATAAACAGTTCCTCCTCCATCATCTTCTGGGTAAGATAATAGTCCATACCCTCACGTCCCCATCCCTGGACTTTGTACTATTATCAAAAATTTTCTAAATGTTCTTTGAGAATTGCAAAATGCTGGCAATCCCAGGTTGATACATGTTTTATTTCACTAGTCTTAAAATCTTAAAAATTAAGTTGGGAGGAAAGTAAAAAAAATATATACTCATGAATAATTTTGAGCTATTCCTTGTTTCTAAAAATTAGTATTAGTATTTATAATATCCAGGGAAAATCATTTTAAAATTCTAATAAGATAAATAAAACAAACAGGTATCACCTATAGATACCATTCAAGGCTGGCCAACAAAACTTGTTGTGAGGCTGAAGTGCTCTATAGCTACTTGTGCAACGTGGGTAGCTACGAACCACATGGCTATTGATTACTTGAACTGGGACTAGTGTACTTGGGAAACTGAATTTTTAATTTTATGTCATTTGGATTAATTAAAATTGAAATACTCACATGTGGCTACTAGCTTTCCTGTTGGAGAACATAGCCTAGCTTTACATTACACTCTCTATAATTTTCCTTTGTAGTCCAGAAAAATTCACTAATATAGCTTGACAAATTGCCCTGAGTAGGAACATTTTAAAATCCAATAGACAGATGTATAACCAAAGAGACAGCTTAATTATCAACATCTATTATTAAATGGAAGGCAAAAATCTCATTTATTTTTGACTATATATTTCCCACAGCAGATCCAACCATGTAATGATAATAGTGTGCTTCACTTTTCTCCCGTGAGCATGAGAAATAAGGGAAGAAATTCAGGGAGGAAAGGAGTTAGGGAAAAAGATGTCTGGAGAGAAGACAGAAAGACATACCTACTCCACAGAAAGCTCCTAAAATAATGACATGCTGAAATATTTAAAATATACTATTAAGAGGACATTTCAAAATCTACATATATTATTATGCTGTATTAAACAGTGCATATGTTTTCTATATAAGAATTTGTTTTCTATAGTTACAGTGGAGTTAGAAAAAGTCAGTTAAAATAAAAATCATTTCTATGTGGAACCAGTTCTTATAAGAAAATTATAGTTACCTTCATTTATATATCTACTAAAAATTTTATTTTTAGTAAGGGAATTTGATGTCAGTGATCTAATTTTAGTTATACACAACTTTCTTAAATGAAGCTCTCATAGTCAGAGTATGAATAGGACTTAGAAACTACTCCCAACACAGTCATTTGTACTAAACCTCTCAACGATGTGTAGAGGTATTTACACTGAAAAACTCCACCATGTTTTTTAAAATTATTTTATGTTAAATAAATCAAAGCTATAATCCTTTTCCCAGTTTCTAAGTATAAAAAGCAGTGCAAATAACTGCTTAGTAGTTTGAATCTCTATTATGTTAATCAATAGTAACCAATCTGGAATTAACACTTGTATGAACACTTATACACCATCTACTTTATTTAAAAAATGGAAGTGGGTGTGAGGGGAATTCTGATTTTTTCTTTATTTAATAAAGAATTTAATAATTCTTTATTAAATAAAGAAAACCCACAAGACGCAATCACAGCCAAGAGAGCTGGAATTCACATACTATATTGTATAAAAATAATTTTTTTTTTACATGTAATGGCTGGACTCTTTTTAAAAAATAATAATTTAATCTTTCTCCAAAAGAAAAATATTGGAAGTCAAAAGAAAAATGGGACAATAAAGAGGAAACTTAAACCTAAAAAAAAAAAAAGAGGACAGAAGGAACAATACAAATGACACATATTCCTTTCCAATTCAATATGCTTAACCTCTCTCTTGTAGTTAATTTTCATATGGCTAGTAACTACCAAAAAAGTAGTAAAATTCATATCCTGGTTTTGCTTCTGTCTTTAATGATAAATTTTGACTTCATATTGCTGTAGATCTATACTTATCATGTGAAATCAGTATTCATGCATTCTAAATTTATCAATAAGTTTTTAGTAGCTCAACTCTGTGGCACATGCCTGTAATCCCAGTAACTTGGGAGGTTGAAGCAGGAGGATCACAAGTTTGGGGCCAACCTCAAGTAATTTAGTGAGGCCCTAAAGCACACACAGTGTATAGTACATCATTCTTTAAAATTTTTTGAAATGCCTTATTGATTAATATCCTGTTTACTGACACACTTTAAACATTTTTTAAAAAGAAAATATGATAAACACCTACATACATAGCATCAAAGTCAAACACATTAACCTGGCATATTTGCTTCAGATAAGCTCATTATATTTTATCATTAGTGATATTGCTAAAGACCCAGACTTCCATTCCTTCCTTCTCTCCTTCCTCTAAGGAAAAAGAATCATGCTCAATTGCTGGACATATTCTACAAAAGAAATTGGTGGATATTTGGATTTTAAACATATAAAAATCTATGAACAATACAGACTATTATTTATTTCTTTGATGCACATACATGGCATTATTTCCTTTACCACTAGATTTTTCACTCAATATTATATTGATATATCTACAGTGGCACATGTAGAACTATTTGATTCATTTGAATAGCTGAATAACATTCTACCATAATAATTAACAGTATTTGTGTATCCACACTTTGACCTAAAGCCAATACAGTTGTTTCTACATTGTTGCTATTGAATATCCTTTTACAAGATTCCTGCACCAGGATAGATGTGTACAGGAGTTCACTGTGTTCTGTTCCCCTATACCTTTACCAACACTTGGTGCTATCAGACTGGTAGTTGGCTATGACATGGAAACACACAATGGATTTACTATATATCATTCTCCCCTCCACAATAACAGAATCACAGCTGGGATGTGGCTGCTTAGTCAAGGGCTACATATCCTATAATGCTCATTCTTTCCCCCTCTTCCTGTAGCTCAGTTAGTGCCTGGGATTAGTTGTCTAGAATGAAAGGTTAAGTGTAAGTTCCAATGCCACTTCCAGGCTAACGCCTTTAAAGCAAACAA